TGTGATTAGATGGGAACCTAGGGGTCTCAGGTGTGTTTCGAATAATTTCTCTCATGTTTGGAGGTGTAGATTTTCTGGTGTTTATCGTGATCACGGAAGAAAGGTCATGATCGCGGAGTGTATCTGGGTGGCTAGTGTTTTGCCTTTCGCATTCGCGATGTGGATGTCTCATTCACGGAGCCTAGCGGGGTTGTGGTCATCGCGTTTGTGCCCAAGTGGTCGAGTTCATGTAGAGTGAAGACTTGATGGGCTCTCCAAGTTGGCCTTCGCATTCGCGTGTGAGGGAACGCATTCGTAGGCCAATGAAGGAGTGGGTCGCGTTCGTAGGGTCCAGACCGCGTTCGCGAAGGAGGATTTTTGGCAGTGTTTGATTTTTTCTACGGGATCGCGAGGTAGGTCCCGCGATCGCGAAGGAGACCACTGGGCAGTCATATTAAATATTATGGTGGGACTCGTATTCGAATGGGTGTTTGAAATTTGTAATTTTGTCGGGTTCCGAGAGGCGAGCCCGGGTTAACTTTTGATTTTTGTTCAAATAAAAGCTTTATTGTTCGGGGTATTTTTCTGTGACTTTTATTGATGTTATTAAGTTATTTTGGCTAGAATCGAGCCGTCCTGAGGTTAATTCACGCGGGAAGGGATTTTTAGTGTACCAATTTGGCTTGTTTGAAGTAAGAATCTTGCTTAACCTTGTGTGGGGGAACCCCTTAGGATTTAGCCTTGATTGCTCATCCGTGTTATGTGAAAAGCGACGTGTACATGAGATGACGAGTGTGTACATGGGTGTTATGTATGGCTTTGTGACCGGGTTGGACCGTAAGCTATTATATGCCTTAATTTGATAAAGTAACTTATATGGAACATGCTTACATCACTTTATGATTTCATGATTATCATCGCCACACTGACTTAGCCATAGTCATGCTTTATCTGTTGAGCACCCCTCTACACCTTTATGTTATTGTCATGTCCTTGTGCACTTTGTTGACAAGTTGTGAACTTATATCGTGATAAACCTTTAGTGTTATCGTTTATGATATTGTGGCACATGTGGACCTATTATGTGGTTTGAATGTTGTTGTGCGGAGTATAAGGGTGGCGTTTCACTGTTGTTAATTGTGCGGAGCGATACAGGTGGCTATTGTGATATTTGTCTGGGCGGAGCGATACACGTGGCTATTGTGATATTGTCTGGCGGAGCGATATGGGTGGCTGTTGTGATATTTTTCTGGGCAAAGTGATATGAGTGGCTATTGTGATATTGTCTAGGCGGAGCGATACAGGTTGCTATTGTGATGTTATCTGGGCAGAGCGATACGTGTGGCTATTGTGTTATTGTCGAGGCAGAGTGATATAGGTGGCTATTGTGACTTTGTCGGGGCAGAGTGATACAGATGGCTATATTTTTAGTGATGATAATGTGAGCAAGAGGTGCCAGTTGTGTGAGTTCCTTTGTGATGATTTGTTGTTGAAACGGAGTCTCTATTTGTATTGAGCTGTTATCACTTATTCTAATGAGGTTATTGTTTCTTGTTATACTTATGCTGCCAGTCTCGATCTATTGTAGAGGTTATTTTTATTAGTGAGTATCGCCTGACTTGACCTCGTCACTACTTCATTGAGGTTAGTCTTGATGATTACTACGTGTCGACCGTGGTGTACTCATACAACGCTTCTACACCATTTTGTGCAGATGCAGGTGTTGGAGGTAGCGGACCCAAGAAGTGAGAGCTTCTTTGATCGTGAGGATTCATGGTAGAGCTATTTTGATCGTCGCAGTCCCTTAGAGTCTCTCTTGTATCTTTTCGTTTTCTTGAGCCGAGGGTCTTTTGGAAACAGCCTCTCTACTTTCTGAGGTAGGGGTAAGGTCTGCGTACACTCTACCCTCCTCAAACCCCACTTGTGGGAATTCACTAGGTTGTTGTTGATTTTGTTGTTGTTGTTACTCTATCCTAACAGTATTGTATTTTGAGATATTTCTATGCATTCAGTTAGAGCTCGAGACTTCGTACTACCTAGTTCTGAGGATATGTTGTGATTATCGTCGTGTTGGCTTGTATCACCTTTATTTTCGTATTAATATTAAACTATGCTTTTAACTATTGTAAATGATCGCTTTACCTAGTTTTAAAGACTAGGTGCCATCATAACCTCTATGGTGGAATTTGGATTGTGACAAAAGTAATAAATATAAGTTTAGAATGATAAGTGGAAGTAGAACAAGATCTGGACCTCATTTTTTTCAAGCTATAAAGAATGCATACTTTTTGTCTAGCTGAACCTTTTCAAAAGGAATAAAAGGGAATCTTACATAAATGTTCCAAATAAGTCCCAAATTATCAATCTCTAGCTATTAATTATATACTTACCAAAACTAGCTAAGCACATATAAAAATTGAAAACCCAAATAAATAAGGTTCTTTCTCTCAAAGAATCACACGCAAAGATCTCCTTTCATATTTTTAAGTGTGATCAGCAACATTAGATGTAAGACAGAAAGAAAAAACTCATGGATGAGGTAGCAAATAAGGTGATGAAATACAGTATATATATATATATATATATATATATATATATTAATATTATAAGATTTAATATTTATTAAAAATATATGTAATACAGTTCTTAACAAATAAAATGGTATATAAAATATAATATTAGAAAGTTAATGGTCTACACGGATTAGGTGAGAGAGAACTGTGAGATTATTTTGAATTTAAGGGATTTAGTAAATATTACATATTAGAAAAGGAATACTATAACACACGCGCGCGCGTGCATGCACACATATATGCACATATATGTGTATATAGGTTATACTATATCCACTGTATACTAAATATGTAATAATTAATATACCATTGATTACTAATATAATATATGGGTATTGATTTTGAGTATATTAATGTTATAATATTTAATATTTATTAAAAATATATGTAATACAGTTCTTAACAAATAATAATGGTATATAAAATATAATATTAGAAAGTTAATGGTCTACATGGATTAGGTGAGAGAGAACTGTGAGATTATTTTGAATTTAAGGGATTATGTGTTAGTTGGCATAATCCCTATTTTCAAGTCCCATAATGAGATATTTTAGGCATATTTAAAGTTGTATCTAATTTAATTAAAAAGTTAAAAAGTTGTACGAAATTGTATATAAAGTAATTTTTTAAAAGTGGTTGTATTTCTTATAAATAACTCTTTCGATTGTTGTATTCCAGGTAAATAGATGAGACTTATGACACAAACACATAGGAGTTTTTACCTAGCTATATTATTTTAGAAACTTAGTTATTCTTACTAGAAAGTTTTAGCCTAATT